ACCGTGAAAAGAAGGAAGTTAACGAGCGAACTCACGTCGTCACAAAGATAGTAAACTCCAAAACACATTATCACAAAATTATCCAAAATTGCTGATACAAATATTTTAATATGATCATTAACCCAGTTTCCTGTTTAACAAGAAACTAAGTTCTGCAATCTATAATCTAAGAAATTATTCTCTATTATCGTTTCGCTACATTACGACTCATTTCCATTTTATTGCGACTTATAGCTCATTTCCATCGAGTGTCGTAGATTTTTCTTTCTTTCACAGAATTTATGACTGTGGTATCAGCTTACTTTGCGTTCTTTCGTGATAACGGAGAGCACTAATGATTCGCAAAAAGAATTCCTTAATTATTAAGTGTATATAGAAATTATTTCCATTGAGTATCATTATACCAAAACCGAGCTAACGACATCAAGCAATCAGAGAAAATAAAAACATTACAAGAATGCAAAGTACAGACAAGTAAAGTTCATTGCTTAAAGCGCGGGAAAACGCGAGTGACTAACTCCCGTTTTCTACATCTGATTGGTTGAGAGGATGGAGCGAGTTTTCTGGACCAATCACGGTGAAATAAAGCAAAATCGAAGCAACTTCCGACACTCGATTGTAAAGCGCTCAATAAAGCGTATATTTGGAACAACAAATTAACTGCATTTTCATGGATGCCATAAAACAAGTGTCTACATTAACTGCAAGGTAAAGTTTCATGAAGCTTTTTAGTGTTTATCATTTAGCAATAGCAGGCGATGAAACTGTAACACGTGAAATTTTATCAAAATTTAAAATCTTTGTTCCTGGTACATGGGACAATAGACTGATATGGAATTATAAACAGTTTGATTTGGAATTGTAAATTGTAAACAGCGTTCAATTTCACCCTATCAAAAGAAAAAGTAATATACAAAGAAACGCCCTGATTCAAAGTGGATTGAATCTATTCTGGCAAACTTATAGCAGTTTTAACATAGTTAGCCTCCCTCCCTCCCTTATTTCTACTCGTATTGGACAAAACAAATCATATGGTGAAATTTATTAGGCGGACAGAGTGGTCAAACGTCGAGCATGCGCGAGCAGATTCTGGCCGGCCGCACGCTAGTTTCCCGCGAAAAATTTCGAACGAAATCATTGTTGAAAGTTCACAGAAATCTGTGAAAGGAAGCAAAGAAGACCGAAGAGGGAAAACTCGAGATTTCTCGAACAAGAAGGGCATTTAAGTACGGGTATCCTCTTTATTCTGTTTTGAGCTTTACTAAAAAAGTTATACGTTTTTTAAAAAAAACCCGTGTTTTGCTGGCTTCTGTGGTTGTCCGTAATCCGTGTGAGACAAGTTGGTTCTGAAACCTTGAAAGCACGCCACAAAGTTTGCACATGCACAGGCGTTTGACCAAACGCGGTCTGTCAATCTTATCCCTTGTTAGATTTCATCGAGGAAGAAAATCATCTGGTGGGTAAAAATACTAACATATTGAATCATTTGCTGGGTTCTTCATCTGGTGGAATCGCTTTCAATTCTCCTTACCACTTCGTGTGTATAGATCCTTGAAAGTAAGTTTAAGTATGCATACTTTTAAGTCTGTATATAGGCTTGAAAATTTCCAAAACGATTCTATTACAGACTCCATGAAACGAAGTTACGTATATCAAACCAACTTAAAGGTCATCGTTCCTTTAACCGAACAAAACTTTGCGTCAAAGAAGTTCGCGCCGTTCTTTCAGCAACTTCCTTTTTAACGACGTTTCGTCATTTTACAACTTTTAGGATGCATTTTTCGAGTTCCTTATTGACGATATCTGTATTTAACAGAAGTCTGCGAGCATAAGTCGCAGCACGTTGTCGTTGGACAGCGCATTTCAACGGGAGCTAAATTTATCCCGTCTCATCGAATATCTAATATCGAATAACTAAGAGAAATTGGATACCAGCTCAAGAAAATCAGAATAGAAAAAACAAAATAGAAAATGAAAATCAACTCTCGCTTTGCAGTTCCTTAGTTTGCACTTATATCTGTTTTAAGAAGCAACGCATGATGTGCTTAAACAATCTTGGAAATTGCGAAAGGCTTAAGATACAATAAATTCCATCCTAGTAGATCGGAAGACAATGCTTTAACTGAAAGCTATTCCCAAATTTTCCAAGTTTCCTTCGAAGCTACCCCTTTTGGCCCATCTGTCATTTCCTGGTTGTTTGTTAACTTTCGGTCTTTCGGTCACACTGTTTTTTTTTTCGGCCATACTTTTAATTGGACTAAGGCATAATGCGGTTGTGATATCAACCAGCCGCATGTATAGGGGTATTGACGAAGTTAACGCCTTAATACATAGGGAACCTTTAGTAATAATTTTTCAAGTCAACTGATTAAAGAAACGTACGATAATCAGTAAGCTTCCTGCTCAATATCTAACTCAAAAAAACCTTCCTCCTCGTCACTATGGAAACTGAGTTTGCGTACGACGTTCTCATAAGCTGGCCCAGGTTGGTGCATAGAAGGAGGTGGAGTATCTGGGGCCTGCTTGGAAATTTCCAGGGTGACTTGGTGGGTAGGAGTGGCAACTTCTGCGAAAAGGAACATTTAGCTGTTAATTTGAACACACGTGATTTTCGTGCTTTTACCGGGGCAAAATAACAGGAATAAGACGACAGGCTCGTAGATTAGATAACACTATTTATTATATAAACACCAGTGAAATACCAAGTGAGCTTTCGCGCGAAAAGAGGATATCTTCACGCGTGAAGATAACTTGTTATCTCACGTGAAAAGATCATTGTTGCTATGGTTTCGTATATACGCGCGGCCATGCAATATCCTCTATGTATTTCATGGTGTTTGTATAATAAATAGAATATTACAGGCCGCTTGGAATTACGAAATTTCTCTACGAGTGTTGAAACATTCGAAGAGGAATTTCGTACCTCCGCACTTCCATATAATATTCTCCTTTCACCAGATAAATTGTCATCCAAGAAATACATGTTCTTAATAGAACATGAGCTCCTGAACTCTTGATGAAGAAGTGCAACAATAATATCTACTCTATCTGGCGAATTGCACCACGGCACGTCTTCCGAAGCGCAAGCGCTACGAAGCCAACGTCGAACGACCGATGGACCTGGCTTTTGTCGTTTTCCAGTTCATCTTTTGCGGCATCGCTACTAGTGCTGAGCACCTAATAGAGCCTGTTTCCAGGCAGATGGACATCGTTATCCAGCTTTCACAACCGGGGCTGAGGGCACTGGGAATGATCAGAGCCAGGAGGACTTAGCTGGGGCGAACAGTAATAATAATCGAGAGGGGTTTTGTATCCTTCATGTCTTACTGAATGTCGCGGCACTGTTCAAAAGACTCAGGTCCGGAGGAGATAGATACTTAACTTTTTTAAGAATCCACCTTCGACTTACCTTTTAGTTCCATTATCGGGCTGCCAATTCTTTGGTACAGCGGTTCCTGGTCAGGAATTGATTGTGAATAACGTAATGAATCATAGTCTGACGTCATTTTCGGTTTAAGCTCCGCCATTATCAGGGTAAACTTTGGTCTTTCTGAAGCCTCTTGGTTCCAGCAACTCTTCATTATTTCGAACACATGATCAGGGCAGTAATCAGTTTTTCCAAGGTGGACACCCTGTGGAACATTCCAGCAATTTTAGTGACATCGCTTCACACTCTTTTGGTTAATCCACGGGGGACCCTCGCGCTTTGGTACACCCATAACAATTTGGGCGCGATCTGATTGGTCGAAAACGTTTCGTCGCTTGTACCGATAAGCGCATAGCTGTTTTATAAAATCGTCAAACTTCTCAATAACCTGCTGCGGATGTTGAGAAGATAGCGTTCGAGAAGTCTGAGTTCTGCTCATTACTTTCAAACGGTTTTAATGCATTCACGGCTGACATCCTAAGTGCATCCTTGAAAAAAGGTGCTCTTTACTTCTACGCGAAGGGAATTTTTTCTTTAGACTACAAGTTCCTTTTCTTTCCAACCTTAATCCGCAAAAAGAAATTTCGTGCCATCGCATGATTTCTGACACGGTGTATAGGGTTCCACGGAAAATGTTTTACATTTCCGTCTTTTTACTAACCTCATTAATGAACTCGATGACTTCCTCGTCACTGTACCCATAGTAAGGCTGTAGCGCCAGTGTGAAGATCTCCCACAGAAGAACACCAAACGAGTAAACGTCAGACTCCAATGAGAATTTTCTCAGAAACAAGGCTTCAGGAGCCATCCATCGGATTGGTAATGAACCTCGGCCCTCCATCTGGGGAATTTAAGGAAGGAAATTGATCAAATTAAAGTTTCGTAGTCCATTAAACCCTTTACACCCTAACATCAGTATGTATATTCTCTATACTGTTCTCTATACATTTTCTAAAGCGCTGAAAAGGAGAATTTGTTTAACAATCAAGAGCTTCTTTAGTTGGTGATCATTTCCGTTATTCTCGTGACCTTAATGTGTGATTCAGGGTTGACAGAGTAAGGAGAAATAAGATGCTGGTCATCCTTAGAGGACAAAGGGCCAACTGATTATAGATAGGTTTATAACCAGGTTTATGCAAACAAAAATTAATAAGAATCCAAGTTAAGCTATCTACGTTTTAGTCGCTCGCGCAAAAATATTAAATTTTCGCGAGTTTTTTCTCTTTTTTTTCCTGTAAAAAAGATGTAACTATTTTGCTATTGGTTGATTTAAGGACCAGAGCAAAAAGGAAATTTATATTGGGAAATTTTTGTTTGCTTTTGAAGAAACGTAGCCTCCAAACTAAGTCTGTTGTAATGATAATAACAACAACAATTCTAGTATTTCTATAGCGCTATATACATAGAAATGATCAGTAGTGCTTTACAATAATTCACCTATAAACTATTCCACAAAAATCAAGTTTACCATGTTGATAAAATTTCTAGTCTAAAATGGTTAAAGAAAAACCAAAAAGGTAGGTCTTAAGATTGCGTTTAAAAATTGTCAATGATGGGATAGCATGCAATTCGGCGGGCAAACTTTTCCACAGACTCGGTGCAGCGGCATAAAAGAATCTAGCACTAAACGTAAAAAGCATTTTTTCTTTAGGCGGCTCCAGCAACAAGGTGCCATTGATTGGAAGAGGACTTCGCCCTAACATTGATTAAATCACTAATATAATAAATAATCCATGATTTGCCCTAAAGGCTTAGACTAAAATCTTAAAATGAATACAAGCGCGTACTGGCAGCCAGTGAAGATCATAAAGCGCTGGTGTAACATTGGAAAGCTCGCCGATGTTCATAGGAAGTCACGTTGTAATTTTAAGATCTATGATTTAGGTAAACCATACAACAGACTGTTGCAATAGTCTGTGCGACTAGTAATTAATGCACGAGTGAGTGTCAGTAAAGAATCACAAGATAAATACCTCTAAATACAACTAATGTTAAGTGAATAATAGAGGGCTGCATAACAAAATTTTGGTAACGTGTGTTGACATATTTAACTGACTATCAAACCACACACTGAGATTTCTAGCTCACAGACCTGGATTAGTGTCATGTTCACTAACAATAATTCTACGCAGTATTAATCTTGGTTACTTTCTCGTTCCTAGCAATAAAAACTCTGTGTTATCATATTTTATGTTTCAGACTGATGCATCATCTGATTTAATCTGATGATTTCCAAACTTCTCGAGATTGTAATTCTCAAGAATCAGCAAGTGGTAAAAAATTTTGTGCTTTTTCGGCGTAGCCCCTGTAGTACAATGGATTAGCGTGTTGGACTTCTAATTCAAAGGTTGTGGGTTTGAGTCCCACCGGGGTGGATGCCCTTTCATTTTATGTGGTTTGCAACAAAAGAAAATATTTCGGAATGATTTGTCAAAAGTTTTTTAAAAGGAAAAAGTTTAAGCCGTCCATTAGGAATTGAGCGATAGACCTGCTTATAAGCGAACAATCAGAGCAGATGGTTTATATGTATAAGAAACTCGCACTGTAACTTAGCCAAGTAACAAGATTAATAGGTTGAAACAGTTCAATCTTGAGAATCTCTCGCAACCCCTATTTAGATCAAAACATACTCAACTTGAGGTAAATAAATAGTGATACCTCTTATCATATCTTATAATAATCTTTTTTTTTTTTTTTGGAAGGCCGTATTTCGCTGTACGTCCCTCTACATCGACCAATCATAGTGCACGCACTAACTGAGACATATCATAAAATGTATGACTATGGGAAATATATACCTTATAATAGTCTGAGACGTAAACGTGTCTGGCCATGCCAAGATCAGCAATCTTCACAGTAAGCCCATGACCCACAAGGCAATTCCTTGAAGACACATCACTGTGAACAAATTTTAGCCTCTGAAGATGCTCCATACCAGCGGCACATTGGAATGAGATGGAAACCAGGTCCTCTTGCGTAAGATAGACTGTTATGACAAAAATTAATTATGTCACTTCAATTAAACGTACCATTGCACAAACATTAGAGTATAGAATTAAACTACTTTAGCAACTGAAGTTATTTCACGACGCAATTTTCTTTTTTTTTTTTTTTTCTTTAAACTATTTACCTATTGCAATAACTGTGTTAGCCTCTCTTTCCACAAGTTATTATTAAGCCAGTGGCTAAGGATAGCACAACGAATCTCGAGCAAGATATCAAAGGAGCGTTCACAGATCGGAAATGGATCCGGTATATTTTGATTTCAAAACACGGTTATTGAATTTCCAGCCTCCTGATTGGCTGGACGGAGCCATATTGTGAAAAAAAATATCAGTTTACTCAGAGCTTACAACTAAAGAAATAACAGAGCTAATAGAAAATGTGACTCCCATATCCACCCTGGTAGAATGACTTTTAACCTTTAACTCCCAGATCAAATTTGTAACCCTCCTTACTGCCAACCATACAATTCTTATAATGTTAGTTCAGAGAATTTTGCATTGGATCCACTAATTATCCCCAAATTTGTATTTTTCTTTATTCTCATCACTCGTCTGGTTGACATTGTATTGATATTGTAAGGAGAAATTCTGTCTTGGTCACTCGTGGGAGTTAAAAGGTCAAATGAACATCAAAAGGCAAATGAATATCTTTGAGGATGAATAGTTCCAAGGGTAAAGCTAATAGTTTACTATCTTACCTCTCTCTTTTTCTTCACCCTCAAAGCCAGGTCCAGCTCTCCTCAGGAATTGAGCAAGGTCTCCTAATTCCATATACTCGAATATCATTCCGTAAGGTTCCTCCTCGGTAGAGACAGCCAGCAATTCCAAAATGTTCTCATGGTGCAAAAGAGACATCAACGCAAGTTTTTCGATGAAATTCTCCTTTGTCTCAGTTGAGCTTTCCTTGGCCAAAGTCTTGACAGCGACCCTCATCCCTGCATCGTCTTTTCCTTTGATCAAAGTATGTGCTCTTCCTAAAAAAAGGGAAAAAAGTTCAAATTATGAAAAGAATGTTTTAATAATATCTCACCCTTTCTTTTCACTCTGCTTCTTGCATTGCTATGCATCACTGCCTAAGCGTCGGTGAGCACTATTTCCTTATTTGGACAAACAAAGGACGCTGGGATGCAATCCGACCTCCTCTCTCTCCCTCTCTTTTTTAAGGAATCGGGAAATACTTTACGACAGCAATCAACCTGACTATCGCAAGAAGTTTATCCTGAGAGACTGTTCGCCATTTATCGAATGGTGGGGCTGAGGTCAGGGGAGTTTGGTTGCGTCAAACTCTCCCCTGACCCCCCCACGTAAGGCTCTGCAATATTCTTATGAAACCACTTCCCTTCCCTTCCCTTCCCTCACTGATCCCCCTTCAGTTCCCCTGACAACCACGTGATCCTTCTAAAGTCCTCCGCACCCTCTTCTCCCGATAAATATACGTACCCAAAAATACTGAGCCGAAGTTCCATGATCCCAGGTCCCTGATATACTCTATTCTTGTCAACGGTATTTGTTTGACGTCATCAGGCTTAAAAAGGCTCGCGATTTTGTCCTCTTCAGAAGCCCGGTGCTTCTCCACTTGAACTCTGTTCTTTATGGACACAACTTTGCCTCGTCTCTTGGTAACAATAGCGATGATCAGGATAACTACAGCTACAGGTACGATTCCCACGACAGCACTAGCTAAAGCGATAATGTTAAGCTTAGATGATGTTTCCTTCTCTTCATCCTCGGCTTCTACAGTTGGAGAGAAGGCTTTGGGAGGAAATATAAAGAGAAATTCTGAGCCTTTTTCCCATAGAGAAACTATATGAAAGTCAGCACAAGAGCGAGACATGGCGAGAAGGCCAACATCAATAAAGTTGCGTGTCAACTAGGACAGTATAACAGCCAATAAAAATTCAGCAACAAATACTACCAGTTAATGAGATATAAACACAAAGTGCAGGTTAACCGACCGAAAAACCACAGAAAAAAAATTACAAATGATACAATTGTCCTTTTAGAAGGGAAAGGAAATGATACATTAGCTCCAATGTAGGCGATGATAAAATTAACCTACTAAGGGATTATATAAGAGTTTCCTTTTTACTCCAAAGTCTAAAAATCAGCTTCTCGTATTCCAAAAATCACTTAAAGGGGTTTGTATTGGTAAATTGGAGGGTTAAAAGAGCGCGTAAACTCATGCACAGTCGGAGTCAACATTGTTATGCTTATCGACATAGTTATCGTTTAGTCTTCATGGCGACTGTTGTCATTTTCATTGTCGTGATAGTTGTCATCATCTTTATCGATTTCGTGATCGCAACCGTGATTGTGATCGTGACCGTGACCATGACCCTGATTGTAATCATGATAGCTATTGTCATCGTGACCGTGACCGTGACCGTGAAAAAGAATGTGAGTGTGAACTTGATCGTGATCGTGATTGTGATCGTGACATTGACGTTCTTCGTTGTCGCTATCGTTATCAGTATGATGAGAGTAGCAATTGGAGTAGACTTACTAAACAATCCAAAGTGAACACAGGTGGAATTCTCAGCCTTATACTCTGCAGAATAGCGATGTTTTTCACAATCAGGAACCTCAGCATGCCCTAGATTATCGCCCAGTTCTTCGACAAAGTATTTTGCCGCTCCGACCAATTCCGTTATAGCAGTATGACATGTTTTGAAAACAGCTTCGCAGTCTTCTCTGCAGAATTTGTACGGTTCATTTGCTTCGTTACATGGCGGCAGAAAATATTCACACAAGAGGGTTTTCAAAATTTCTCTACATCTTTCCTGTCCCTTAATCCTTCCGATTACTTTCATGAACTCTAATATCAAATTCTCAGTTCCATTCAGCCCGAATCTGTAATCAATAAATCTGGGTGTCCAGCGGTATTCCAGCATCGTGTAGTTCAACCATCGATCACATGCCCCAGCACGGTACACATGGCAGAAGCCTTCATGCCTGAAAGTAAAATAAGGAAAAATTCAAAACGAAGGATCTAAAATTCACTCTGTTAAAAAAAAGTCAATCAGTAAACTTCTGCGCTAAATAAGCAACTGTAAGAAGAGAGAGGGATGTCTGAAGGCCATGGTCCCTTTGCATATGTGTGGAAAAAACAAGTAACAACAACGTAAAAAGCTCGCAGTACAGGTGTCTTGTTAAGGCAAGTCAACGTTACACGCTCGCGATCATTTACTCAACCTGTCACGTTTGACTAGAGATGGAGTGGACAGCAGGGGGAGCAGGTGAGGACAGGCGAGAAGAATTTCCCCTCTTCTTCTTTTTGATCGTCTCTTACCCCCTTGGTACAAATTTCTTTCTTTCCCCAGCTGTATCCGTACAAAAAAAAATACTGAGCAGTCTCTCGCCAAAATTACGCCAGATTTGCAGGCTACAGTGTATGTATTAAGACGTACTCAGCTGTTGCCACCCAATTCAGATCATGTCATAAATCCGTTAGCAGGTTGCAATTGTATAATTTTTAACCCCCGGCTAAGTGCACTGGAGTAGGTGCAATTAGAAGAATTGTAACCTCTCAGATTAATCATCTAATGACCTGAGTTGGCAGAAGCAGTAAGAAGGTAAACACGTTAGCCGAATGCGCCCATTTCGCCAAAAACCTCTAAATTATTCGATCAGTATTTTGGAATCACAGTTATAAGAGATCCTGGGAGAGTCAACGACTCAAAAGCGTCTTTAAAAGAACAGGTCAGACTTATGAATACGATTTCTACATACTTATCAAATACTGGATCATTGGATGATTTGATTCAAGAGTTTTCATTTGCTTAGCCATCATGGGTTATAAGCCATCATACCACGCGCACGCAAGAAGACAACTTAAATCGAAAATGTTTTTAAACATTCCAACATTCCGTTTGTTCTTACAAAATAAAGTTCGGAAGATTTACCTCTTTTTTGAGGCGTTGTTAATAAAACAATTATCCCGCTCGCGCACGTTGGATATGAGGTAATTATAGCCAACTCGGCTCAACGGGCCTCGTTGGCCGTCAATCATCTCATATCTAAAGAGCGCTCGTGGAACAATTGTTAAATATCAAATTGCTTGTTCCCGTTATGCATTTATTTTTCTTTACTTATTCCAAACGTAATAATTGTTGGGCTAATGTTCAGCGCCATTTCTGTTCCGGATCTAGAAGTCTGTATTCGAGTCTTAACTTGATATTGTGGTACGCTTCACTATAACAGTGTCTCCAACGGCAGAGGTTACTTGGCAAGGGCTCGTATTTCGCTTAATTGTAGACACGGAAAATACTTCAATTAAAACTAATCTACATAAACCTGTGTAAGTTCCGTCAGTAATGAATCATTAGACTCTTAGTAATGAAAACTTACTTATCTACAGTAGATGTGTTTACTTTGGTCAGTGGAGTCTTGACTGTTGTCATGGGAACCGTTGCATTTACCACTGACTGATTATTTGCGATCCCATAACACCCTGTGGCGTTAGCATCGGAAGATTCGTTCCAACAGCATCCCCAATTCAAACACTGATCTTTGGTCGCGTTTAGATAGCCACAACGCACCAAGGTTACGTTTGAAGAAATTTCGGGACATTTGCTTAAAACTGTGATAGAAGGAAAAAATAAGTTAGTTAATGAATAATTAAAAAATTAACCAAAACTTAAGAAATACTTGACAAAATTCAAGAAATATTGATCCAAATACTTCTCATATTTTACTACTACTACAATTTGGTCTGGGCGGGAAACAAATAAAGCAAAAGTATCTCTATGAAGAATTTGTCAGCTTTTATCAAATGGCCCTTACGACCTCCAGCACGCAATCCCATGGTAGCTGATGTGTGCAGGGCCGGACGGTTTGACGAGAGCCGGTCCGGAACAAGCCGTTAGGTTCTGCACTGACACGACTCTTTTGCATTTACCGTGAACTCCAATTGAAATTGTGGACTCCAACTCAGAATAAAACAAACGAGGAAATGAGTCGCGCTCCTAAATCAGTTGGAGTATCTCGTTCCGACTCGAGGAAAAAAAAATAAGTTTTCACTGCTGAATCTTTTTAGCAGCTGTCCAGTCGCGTTCTTCTTTTGAATGCATGCACGTCCTACAACAAAACGTTCGTAATTTTCAACACTTCGCGAAAAAAATTATATTAAAATGCTTATTGAGTGAGTCAGGTCGGGCCGAATGGGAAAATATCTGGCCTCGATCCTCAACGCACGGACCTCACTGCTGTCGGTTCGTACGTCATGACTTCGAGCCGAAAACATCCTTGGCCGGCCGTCCCACTCAGTCCATAAGAGCATATTATCTCCTTACGCAATTGATGCAATTTCAAGCTAGGTGGAACTTATAGTTCATCAAAAGTCTGTAGAAAATTTACTGTCATCAATTTGTGCAACTGTATTTTGTGTTCATCCTATTTTGTTAATGGAAAGAGCACGAAAAGAAAAGCCAACAATTTATTGTTGGTCAGTGTTAATATAATAACTTGTTTCCCACAGGTAGCTCAAGCGCCCATGTAAATCCTTATATTTCACCCATTGCACAACGTAATCATATTTAATCTTTACTGAAGCCTGTTGCAAAAGCTTGGGCTACCTGTGGTTTCCCACATCTGGCAGAATCATCATCAATTGCAGAAAATTTTTTGACTGATGAATGACAATTATCCAATTAAAAAATTGGTTTATAGAAAAGACAATTAATCATCGCACATCTCGATACATTTGTTTCGCAAATCGAAAAAAAAAATGTTCGTATACTATTGTTCAGCATATATTTTCAAATATTGGACGTGCGGATCTGATTGATAGAAAAAAGATAAAGAATCATTCTGTCAGCAGAATGCATGACCCCATGTCACCCCACCAGGAGTTAAGAACCAGCTAAGCATATTGTGTTCCTCTGATACACTACACCGCCTGTCCTCAATACGTAATCTGCTTTTCCCTCTATATGATAGAGGGCGAGAAAACCGAGCTCAATGGCCTTAGATCAACCTACAAAACCCACGCAATGCAAAAGAACGACCACTTAAGCGAGGTAAGTTTCTTTTTCATTCAAAACTATTTTAGACATTTAGGTTGAGATTTCGACCATTTATTCCCATAAAAATCGTGATAAATCTCAATTGCGCAACGAGAACTGACATACTTGCAGAGGCTCATAGCGCGAGCTTGGGCGACCTGTGGTATCATCATTTCAATAATTCTGAACTTTTTATTTTGATTTTAAAGACTCTAAGATAAAAAAGAATTTGAAATGAAATTTTGATGTAAAGGGCTGTTAAAAAGTAAATTTGGATTATTTTTTGTCCCAGTTTGCCAAAGGTCGACAGAGGACAAAAGTAAATTTGAGCTTTCGTATCACAATTGGAACACGAAGAGAAGAATACGAAAAATGGTAAGTTTTGAGCTTGGTAAAGAAATAAACAAAGGTGTTTTTATTTAATTTTCTCTACCGAGCTCAAAAATTTCCATCTTTCTCATTCTATTTACAAACAGACGCTATCGACATCGCTGATCCTAGCAGTATGCAGGACGCGTGTCACCTAATAACTTCGTAATGGCCTCACTCATCATAGAGTCTCTGTGGCTCAGTGATAGAGCATCGAAGCGCGGAATCCGACGGTTTGAGGTTCGATTCCTCAGGGGGACTCATTGCCCTACGCGCATGATGAAAAATATCTTTCTCTATGTGGAGAAGACTTATGAAATTCCATTATGAAATATCATTTTGTAATGTCGATCATTAAAACGAGATTTCCTTTCCGCGAAAAAAAAGTAAGTAAATAATCGGTTGGAAAAACAAGGTTAGAAAACAGATTAAGGTGGATTTATTAATATCCGTCAGAAAAGTTTTTGATATACACACAAGGACAAAATAAACAATGAATGCAAACCGAGATAAAGTAAAAAAATTCGAAATATTTTAAAACTGTAAAACCATATGTCTGTCAAAACAAGACTTTCCTAGAAGGTCAAAGTCGTGTTGTGACCTGCGAAACCATCTGCAAGGATTTCAGTGGATGGTGGGCAAGATGCACGTGATTTTCACGCCTCAAAAGACAAGCTTCCACCAATCAGAAAAGAGTGCTCACATGCCCAGGCCTGACGACGTCGAAATAGTGCATAGGTTTGCATATTATAAGAGAAATCTTGCTCCTTCATTTCGTAGGAGCGTAATTACTCCTTTTTTACTCTTGGTTGGTTTTCAATGACCTTTTTCCTTCGCGACAGCTTGCTGACAGCTTTTCAACCTACAGTGATAAGTTAAGTACATGTTTGACCGGATGCTAGTTCTCGTCGCTATATATTCGAAATACCTCAAGATGGAGGCAGCAACTCTCCTTCGTAAGTATTGGTAAAATTTCTCTGTCGGCGTTCGCGGACATTCAAGCGTCCTGGGATTCGCTACCATTGATAGTAAGTTAGAGAAGTTTAAATTGTTGTTAAAACCTTCATTTTCTAGTCCACGTAGCTTGTGACAACAAAGTTTAAAACACAAGAAAACTCTCACTAGTACTACTGCCTGTGCAGTCAGTCTGACGAAAGCATGAAAAGATTCATCCACTGACATAGAATTAACGGGGTTGGTGCAGTGATGAGAGCACTCAATTCCCGCTACTGTGGCCCCAATCCAAGGCGTCACACGTGGGTTGAGAGTGCTGTTGTTTCTCCGAGGGTTTTTCTCCGGATCCTTTTGTTTCCCTCTCTCCTCATAAACCAACACTCCAAATTCCAGTTCGACCCGGAAACAGAAGACAAGAGGAGCCACCCAAGGAAATGTCCACCGCCAAATTCCCATTTTCTCCCATTCATTACCATTTAATTAGTAAGAAGGTGACTTTTTACAGCAATAAGCAAGAAATAAGGTTGAATTTGATGTTAGTAGAAGTAGTTGCATAACTTGATGACACAACTGATCACAAAAATCAAGTAACAGCAAAGCTGATCAAGTCGTCGCGTAAGAAACCGAACAAGAAATGCATTACAATAAATTTTGATCCTTAAAAGCCAAAAACTGAATCTGGTTCAATAGAGATCACTTGGAGAACGATTCGCATGAGAAACGAAAGTGGAAGATATTCAGCGAAGAATTGCCCGGGCATATCACTCTTGTTAACGTTTCCAAAAATGTCAACAAACTAGTGCTAACATGTTTAGTCGAACAGGTTTAATTGAATAAAAATCAGAAACAGAAAACTGAAAAAATGAATTTTCAATAGGATTCAATTGATCACAAACTTATATTTTCAATTTCCTGCATTTCAAGTCGACAAACATCGGGTTAACCTGCGGTTAACCTGTAAGAGTATCTAATTCCCCTATAAAATATCACCCCCACATCACACATAATGCCACAAGTAAAAAGGGAAATGATCACCAATGACAGAAGCTCTAGATTGCTAAACAAATTCTCCTTGTCGGCACCTTAAGAAATGTATTGAGAACAGTATGGAGGATATGTCTACTGATGTTAGTGTGTAAAGGGTCAAGCAGTATCTATGACGAAATTGATAAAACACTTAAACCATATTTAACAAAACAGCCTCACAACACGTTTAAGCTTTGGCCCAGAATAGGAATAGGGTATAAGTCATTTGTAGGAAGTTCTTTTACGAAAGAATTCCGCCTAGACAATTTTCTTAGCTGCCCTAATATCTTAACATGCTCTCTAAAAACTTTCGACTTGTGTCCAAAAACATGGTAGCGTCCTCAGCCTTTGTTCAATATGCTGAGAGAAAACCATTTCAAATTATTTAGGCAGCACCTATGTTGTTTGGGCAGGCGCCGGGAAAATTGGGTTTAGTTCACGAAATCGAGGCTTAAGGCTAGATACGTAACCACAGGAAATATAGCAGAACAAACAAACAAACAATGCTTTTTTCAAAACTTTTTCCTGACATCTACGTCCATTTTTTTCCATGGAAAGTTTACTGCCCAGGTCCTACGAAGCGCACAAGAATATATGTTATCGATGATTTCTGAAAGAAACCTGCTCTAGTTATTAGAGAGGTTCTGAGTCCTCTGGAAATTTCCTCAGTGTGCTAAGTAATTGTGCTGCTTTCAATTCATTCATTCAGTATTGTAAGAGCCTCCTCTTGGGGTAGCACTTATAGTTTCTATTTTCATGCGTGTAAATTATTTCTCATTTGACGCTTAAACATTCGCTGATGATCTGTTCATGGTAGAACCCGCTAATTTGAACAACATTCGATTTTGTTTGGATTTGACCCCATTTTTTCAGTCATATACCATCAGCTGACTCGAATATTGACTTGAACTAATTTCGCTTTCCTTCGGCTCAAATTTACCTTGATAACTCAAACTTTAGGTAAAAACGTCGGTCTTGAGGCACAGAACATAAGTGATTGACACGTCCTAACCTTTAATCGCAATTGTTACGAATAATATAAAAATGTAATCTATTTAGCAAAACTTCACAGGTCAAGCCCTCTTTAAAAAAGCCCTTGAAAAACAAACTAGATGTTCGAAAATGAGTGTTGATTGTGCAAGAATGGTAAAAAAATATTATCCTTTATTTGGATAAGGAATGTTCTGAAGAAACTATTGATAGAAGGGTAGAAATGCGACACCAACCCATAAAACTCGAACCCCACCAAAGACCAAAAAATCTTCCATCAGTTCAGTAAGACAAGTGCGCCCGGTGATTTTTTGTTTCCAAATTTTGTCAAGCTTTACCAACCTTCAAAGGCGCCGTCTTCTTGCCTCGGAACAGGACAAATTTTTGTCGGGCATGAAATCAGACAGATTTTTCAATCTACTACCCAAGATTTGGAGAAATTGTGCAATCAGGAAAATTGATCTCTCTTTTCAAATGCAGGTCCTTCAGCTAGAAGGCCGCCAAAATAGTTGGTTTTACCTGGCGATCAAACGGTGAAGATGGAAGATTCGTTCCTCGGGATGTGGCATGACGATCAGTATTTAGGATACTCAGAATACATCATAGCTCCCAAGTTTACGTTTAAGCTAAATCTCCAAGTCCAAATACTGCTCAATTTGTATATCCATGCGATTGACATTGGGTGGTTAACAAATATTTTGCTGCTTTTCAGTGCGCTACAATTGACAAATCTAAAATTTGTCAGCCCAGTGCGCCCAGGCTCTCGATCCATTTTCTGTTTCCCTTGAGATTTCTAGCTAGCGGGGTTCTATCGTATTATCATATCCCATCATGCAATGTCTTCAGCCATTGGCGGATTTATGTCAGGAAGGGACTGGGTAACCCATATTTTCAGACAAAGACCAGAATCTACTGCTAAATGCACTAAGATCTTTTCCACTGAGCACATGTTATGAGAAGAACAACGACCACGACTCAGACTTAGGATTCGAATTCATCGCTCATAAAATCAAGTTGAATTCTCAGTTTATCCAAAATGAGTGGAAAACAAAGAACTTTGCGATTTCAGCCAACTCTAATAACGAGCAAGAGACAAGGCTAACCACTGGTAAGGTCTAAATGAAATAGGAAAAAACCTTTAGCTCCTATGGTGTGACGTGCAAGATCAGGGTTTGCGCTCCTCTCCAGATTTTCTATGTTGGATCTTTACCAAAAAGAGGATTAAGTTAGAATTTAAGCTCACTTTTCTTAAATTTGATCTGTGCTTCTTACCGATCAGGGAATTTTTGCCAATTCTTTCCGATGTGGTATATTAAATATATCACATGAGAAATTAATGTTTAAGTGAAGATAAAATTGTTTTTAAGGGTTTATACTCGGATAATCCAACTGCAGCACAGCTTTATTTGTTTTGAACCATACTGGGTACGCTTTACTTTTAAACAAAATTTGGGTCGGCCATAAAGATTGAATTGAAACACGGGTTTCAACGTGTTTACAAAAGTGACCTCGCAGGATGCAAGGTCAAATGGATCAAATTTGCTGTAAAAAATTGTAATCATTCATGCAAGGGAAGGCTCTAGTTCGATTTCATGATGCGGTAAGTTTTTAATAAGTGCTTGGATCTCTTTCTTCCAATTCGTATGCAGAAAAAGAAAAAAATTGTTCGACTCGAAGAAAATTGGACTTTGACCTATCGGCTACTTTTCGTTCCATACAGACATAAATAATTTGAGTGATTTTTTTTCCGTTGATTCATGGAGACTGCAATGTCAGGTCTAGGCGAAGCAACTTTCCACCTAAACCATAGCTGCTTTCGTTCTTTTTTCAATTTTTTGATATTCATTTCATCTGCTTTCTGTCACAACTGTGTCAACACGATTGAAAACTTGTCGACCAATCAGAAAAGGCCCCCCCCCGCCCCCAAGTTCACTTTCAACACTTTTAGCAAAGAGGACTTACGCGAGACGCATGCATCTCAGTCACGTTGTGTTATGCTCTTCAAATTAAAAATAGATTTTTTTTTGATGATGATGTTAAATCGAATGAATTACGTATGAAATGATAAAATTTGCGCCTTACGATGAAGCCATTTTGACCGGAAATTCGAGAAGGCGAATGTAAAAAAACCTCCAAATTCAACGAGGGAGATTTTCGCGAGGCGATTGTCACGTTTTTTGGTGCGCTTTAAGTAAAAAATGGAGGAACCCAAAGAACACTCTAGATCTAAATTGTTTTTATTTTGTTTTTGTTTTTTTGTAATGTTCAATCTGATAAGTTAAGTTAGTAGCAATGATGAATGACGATTTATGATGAAGCCATTTTGATGGGAGAATTCGAGTAACGAATACGACAAGCATACCGGTTTTTTTGTCAAAGAGGACTCCATGCATATGACAGCTTTTCATTATTATTTGTGTCTACGCGCAATTCTACATAAGCGGCTGAGGTTATAGAATGACTTACCCCTGAGGGAAAAATTTAACAGCTGAGATCTGGGCTTAAAATCCTACATTACGCCAGCGAAACCACCTCCGGTGCTCAAAGTGCTTTTGTTTCGCCATCGAAACCACCTCTGGTTTTTAAGTTTGATGAAAATAATTTAAAAAGAATTTGAAGTGTTCAGAAGGAAATCAGACCTTTGATTCCCAACAGTGATTTATCGTTATTCGAGCTAGCAATACTATGTGTCAGGCTCATTTGATATAGCTGGAGATACCTTTTTGGGAATTAAACAAAGACGTTTATTGTATTCGTATCTTTTTAACAAGAAGAACATGGACAATGTAACCATTTGTCTTCTGATTCATTGCTATATTTCCCCATAGCATGACAAGAGACACGAAAACTTGGCGGAAAAAATGCAATAGTTTCAAAGGTCATTTCAAAGGAAAACAAAATATTCCAGATCTCTATAAATGGAAACTCCATTACTGTCGCTCAACCTTTTGGCACTACCAATGAGAGCGCACGTACTGTTTATGTTTCATGGTTGCACTAATAAGCAAAATAACATCAAGTTTTACAGCCAATATAACAGGAAACAACTTCCTTTTCCTTTTGAATAATTACATAACATTAGCGAATTACATAATCTGCAAATCTTAGCACAAACTCGCTAAAGAGTGCTGATCTTTGTGCTTAAGAGGTCTTAGTTCCTAGGTCGCGAAAATTACGAGCACGTTTCATGATTCATGTTAGCGGCTTGAGGAAATATGCTTTTACCGAGACGAAGATACAATGGAAATTTCAACATTGAAATGCTTAAAATACTACTTAGAAGAGATGTCTTACTGATCACAAACTATTGAGAGAAATGAACGATCCGACTTGATCCCAGCGTACGGCAACTTAACTCGTGTTGTCAACGGGCCGGATCTTCCCAAAAACTAATTGGCGAATATCAATCATTCTCGTCATGGAGAAGTCGAGGACGTGGTAGATTTTCAAAAGTAATGATTTTTAATATTTAGTAATTATTGTGGACATACTCTTCTTTGCAATTATTATGACTATTTCCTTCAAAGAAAAAGTTCACGTTTTTTTTTTTATGCCCATCTAAGTTCGAGCAACTTTCATCTCCTACTGCTCAATCTGATCGTGGCACGCGCGCTATCATGGCGCTAAATTTGCAGAAATTAGCCCCGCTCGCGGTCATTTTTTTTACTCACCTGATGTAGTAAAACAGGCCAAGGCACAAATCAAAAATACCGTTATCGTGTACTTTAAATCCATCCTGACGAGGCAAAGCTCACGAGAAGTTCACTGTTGAAAGGTGTGCAGAGATGACTTTTGACAGGCAAGATGATACACTGTTTCTTTTAGACACGAGGCGATTTTAGTAACTCGAACTCTCCGTAACTTGAACCTAGTGATAATTTGAGCCACAGTGTTGACTTCCTCTGTAGAGTATTTTTCTCGGGAATCTGTTACAAATCTCGACTTGCTTGAAGTGATATTTCCGAACTTTCTTTAATTTTGACAAGAAAAATCACTTCTTCTTCGGTTCACTTCTCCGACTGCTATTCTGGCATACGTAACAACGAAGCCACATTTCTGAATGATTGACAATTAATGTGGCGTTTGACCCTATGTTGCAAGTTCTCGTTTACATTCAATTCTGTCCTATTGGTTTTCTAGTTTTTGTCTCCTACGTGTACCTCTCGTTTTCTTTCCCTACAAGAAGCCTAATTGAAAAAAACAAATCATTCCAACAGCGAATACCGGGGGAAAAAATCTCACATAATGTTCGTGGTGCAGCCTTGTATCAAAGAATTCTTTCGATTCCAAATCGGTCTGATAATACAAATAGTATTAAATTATTTTTCCTACTTACTTCCCTTTGTTTAAGAACCAAAAACTTACTAACATCTTTATTGAATTCCATAACTCCAGTTTTATCAATATACAACTTCTCCTTACGTCATGTTAATACTATATCACTTTCAATACTACATGCTAATACTATATTGATCAAGTACCAACCTCTCCTATTAAACTAGTTTTGCAGGAAAATAGCGGCTAACAGGGTTAGTAAACAGTAAGATCTTGGGTTTCCTTTAGCCTGGGGGTAGCATTTCGTTTACAAACACTGACGAAGTTATACCACTCAATTTTGCCCTGAACATAGTTGCAAAATCTAATTTTATACCGGAAACTTCACCCCCATCACACCCATTACAGTCCTTCTCTCGAAACATATGATTGTCGTCCATTTTAACTGTGGCGCGTGTCGGTGAGATTCAATATGTCTGGATGTTATCCAACACGCAGCTAAGGAAACGAAACTGATTGAACACGTGTGCATGACCAGGCAAAACATTTTGCTTACCTGTGGCTGAAACCCACAAATAATTTGCCAATTAACAGCATCTATTTGGCTTTGCTTTGATGTTTTATTTATACTTCCTCAGTTAAGTTTATTATGTAAAATTATTATCAACATCTCTCCCAAAGAAGCGAGCCACAACTGCGTGAAACAGGTCGCCCCGCAAGAATGTAATTAGAGAGCCACCCAAGCGTTCAAAAAAAGCGGACAAAAGCGGAGAAGACTAATGACTTAAGCCCCAATTGGAATTAGTCCAATAAAGTCGAGGCGTTCGATAACTGTTACAGTTCGGAAAAAGTATGATTCTCATGTTATCTCTTCACGAGGTGATGCTACTAGCGTCTCTTGTTGTGGTTGTTGTGCAGCAAAGTTGTACCACACCGTAACACTCAGAACGAAAGTACACTCTCACTTGTCCTAAACAAGCATGTTCAGTCCAACATGGGATAGACTCGAGGTCTAGCGTCCTAACCATAGAGGGAATGTAATTACATGTTTTGAATCTGTTGAAAACAGGATTTCTCTCTCGACGGGAAGCCTCGGTCAGAATGTGAGAATGTGGTATCGCAACTAAAGGAACTCATATTTTCGCGACTAACAAGTAAAAATGGAATTCTGCCAATTCTGTCTGATAATGCTACACACTACGACAGTTCTAAGTTTCATAGCTTTGCAGAAAGTTCCCCTGATTACATTTCATTTCCTATGATCTTTCCTTGAACCCAAAAACCTACTTTCATCCTAAATTAGCGTTAATCCAATTTTGAACAACGGGCGCCGTCGATACCCAGCCGAGACATCTCACTAGACTTTTCGGTATGTAGCATCGCTGCGTATTTCTACGAGTTGTGGTATATTTTTACAAGCCCGCTGGGTGCATCAAAATACAAACAACGATTAAAAATACTCGCCAATACTATGCAACAAAATTCCTAATAAGTATTTGACTATCCATCTGCCTTATTTTATGTACATGGGCGACAACAGCGAAGCAAAAAGAGAAGCGGTTTGTGACAGGTCTTGCAAGGCGCTCGTGTAGAACTAATTATCTAATCGACTGAGATTAACCTATAATCTCCCCCTCTATAACCCAAATTAACCAATTCTGCATTCTTAGAAGTCTAATGTTTGCGTGTAAATTGCTTCATGGGGACTGAACAGTACTTGAACCGTTTTTTAAAAAAATGTAATAATACGAAAAAAAATAAGTTAAAACATAAACAAAAGATGGAAAGTGCATTCATGTTCACTCTTGGTACAAACTAAAGCCCACATCCTTTATCGAACTTATATCATCCTTTATCATATCTAGCACCATGTAAGTACGTTTACTGAAACCAGTCACAGCTGAAAATCACGTGTTTTGGTATGTCTTGAAAAAGATGTAGAACCCCCGCGGTGGAATGGATTAGCGTCTAGGAATTCAAAAGTGATCTTTGCTAGAAATCATTTCTGGCAAAGATAACTTTTGAAAAAAAGGTGAAACTCAAAATGAGGAATCAACGGTAAGATTTAATGTTACCGTTGATTCCCCATTTTTTGAGTCTGAATCACAAATAGTTTGAAAAACAGAAAAACCAAATTAACAACAACTTAGGTGTATTCTTTCCATCTACAATCTGTGGGTTATGACCTACGCATCATGCAGAACGAAATTACGAAATTGCGCATTCTGCAGGGTGTACACTTATCTCAGACGTCAACCTCAGGGTACTGATACACGTAGGCTACGTTTAAGGTCCGTGTGTCATTCGTCCATTCAATTTTCGTTTAAAATTAAAAATGGAAAATTGATGTCAATTTTTGATTTTCGTTATATTTTATCGTAAAAAATACGAAAGTGCCAAATCGAAAATTTTTTACTTTTTTTTCCTTTGATAGAATATTGTAACATAACTTTTATTTTTACTTTAATCCTGTCGACAATAAAGTGAAAAATGAAACTGAGCGGCAATTTTGCTTTTCCGACAGTGCTGCAGTCTGTGGCATGGCTTAGTTTTTCTGTTTTCGGTGGAAGTCTAAAAATTGAAAATTGAAAATTGCAATCAATTTTCAATTTTTTTTTTTCGGCCAAAACACTAAAAATCGTTGACAGAACTACCCAAGAGGGTATTACCCATTCGCACGGTAATTTTGGCCCCCACTGCCCTCTCCCCATGGCCAGGTCCGTTTCCTTGCTTAAGGGGTTTGGGAAGGAAATGAGAGTTTAACTGTCTCCGCGGTCTTTCACGACGTTTTGGAGCGTCTTCCCGAGTTCTGTCCATTACAGCGAGCAGCCAGACTTTGGACGTTAGCTAAGAAGTTAAAAAGATCTTAGACTTCGTATTGGAGCATATTGGAGCGGGTGATGTAGCCATATCGACTTTTCAGACGCCATACTGTAAAACATGGTTGGAATGAAGGTGAGGGAAGAGGGAAGGAGTAAGGCACTTTTCGGTAATGCGAGACGAAAAGGTGGCGCTCTTGCGAAAATTATTCCTGCGGAAATGACACACAAGAATGTGAAGGGACCTCCCACGTTCCAAGAACTAGTGGCAGACAGGCGGTGTGCGCACTCTGATTACGTTGCATCATGGTCGTAAAACGAAAAGCGAGTCATTTACATCCTGTCGCGGTCGAGTGAACATCTCTGGTGGCAGGAAGATAGCGCGAATAAACGTGGAATGTAATGGGGATTCACTGCCTGTTGCCATTCCTTCGAAAGTTAAAAAGTGTTGGCAGGCCTGCGCGACTCCTGTTATTCCTCCGTGACAAATTCGTTGTTAGAAGGCAACTGAAGAGAAAGAATCGAAACTGCAGCCTTGCCCAAGAATCTATTCATTTGGCAGCAGTTACACTCACAGCCGATAGCTGTGTGAATAATATCAAATTCGCGATTTATTTAACAGGGAATCAACCCTTGACATGCAAACTCATTACAAAGAGACAGCTACCTTCTTATACACGAATTATTTTTCATGTCATGCACTTAAAGGCGTAAATACGGGATTCGCAAAAGGAGAAGCGTTACGCCCTCTAAGACCAAATTCGTCACGCTCAACCACAGGCGGCCCAAGCTCCAGCTGTTATTATTTTATTCCTTAGGGCGGCCGTAAATATTCCCATACAAACTCTTATAATTCCGCCATGTCTGTTATTGCGCAAGATGATCATGTCACAGCTGGAGCTTGGGCCGCCTATGGCTCAACGTTTAATAAAAAAACATACACATTTTCAAATATGCTTAAAAGAATAGAGAATACTTAAAATCAGGTTTTGAAAACCGTATCTTTGGAGTTATCTTCCGCGGTAGAGACAGTATACTTGAAAACAAAGAAAATAGCGCGCACACATGAAAATATTACCTTTTGTGACAATCTCATTCGGCTTTGTATACAATAGTAACACTGTGTAACGCAACAATAGGCCTTTTCTTGGTCATAATAGGTCTCAAACACTAGCACTTAAAATGCGCGAAACACATGTACCGTTGGAGAGCGTATGAGAGCGTTTAGTCAGAGCTGTTGACGAAGGATCAAAGCGGCCATCCAAATCTTTAAAAGGCTCCAAAATACGACGTATATCAAATTTGACCTTCTCGAAAACTGGTCTCAAATTACATACTAAAAAACAGTG